TCTAACCGAAAAGGGTTGAGAGACTAACCTGTGTGCACCTTGCATAAGTTCTGTATCTTCTTTCCATTCCAGCTGTTGCTACACGAGGGGAATCCCCGTTTCTTTCGACTTTGCGCACCACGTTTACTTGCTTCGTACGAGCACTACTAACAATCAAGCTTTCTATATATTTTCGTTTTCTAACAACTAACTGTGAACTGGACTTCGGTCAAAGTGAATGCCTAGACGAGTCACCTCACCGATTTCAATGACACCGAAATATGTTGTCAAGCACGTAATTCTGAGTAACTTTTCCCTAAACATATAATAGGCGGTCTCTTTTAGTTTTGCAGTTACATGCAACAATATGCGGTAAATATCTAGATGAGCATCTTTTGTATATTATACACAAAAATATGTATCATATTGTATGTTTTTCACTTAATGAAGTTGTTCCCTATGATATAGCAATTAGTTTCATTCAGGTAATAGAGGTAAGTTAACACCTAAGGGTCAATTTACATATAGTAAAAAACAATATCAATGAATAAATATAAAAGCGAAAGATTCGAGCTTACTGCGAAATTTTGCTTCATAATTTTGTAACCATCTCTGCTAAAAAATTGAAATTGCTAGCCACACAGAACAATGATCTTCACAACATATCTCACCATCAAGATCATACAAAAGTTTATCCTTTTTCTAAATAATTTCAATAACTCCCCTTTCTCGGAGATATTTATATAAATATCTTAAAGAATAAAAGATATTATTATTCCTATTACACGTATAGGAAAAAGTTATTCATAACGACGACCTTGGCAACATCTACCAAGGTCATCGCAATCGATGAGGAAGTAACCCGTCTAGACATTTACCTCACGAGTTTCCGTACTGTCGCTAAATCTGTCACAACGTTGAAGAATGTCTCTGACTGTGAGTAGCCGTTGGTATGCATTTCCGCTGGTGATCCTCTAGTCCGCTTGACAAATGTACGTACTCGCTAACGAACCGGCTTGCCGAAAATGGCGTCAACGTCGAGCGCCAGGCCGATTTCAAACGCTAACTTGTTATGATCGATAATTGTGGCACGTGAAGCGCCGCATAGCCCGCAACGTAGACGAGAGAGGCTTAACCTCAGGATGAAGAGCCTCAGCCTGGACTCGCCGGAAGGGACAGCGCACGTTCGACATCGTCCTAGGGATTACTCGACCGGTGGCCAGAGGGAGTCCACGCCGCCCAGGCATTCTGACAGCGGAAGCATCAACAGATTGTGTAAGTACAGTCCAGTGTCCCAATTACTGAACGTTAACGTTAGGGAAAGTTACCGCGATCAGCGGGGCACTGATAGATTGGGCCACTCGAGATATTAACTTGATGCCAGTGAACAGTAATTTGATTCTTGAGATTAGTCGTATGAATAATGTCTGACTTATTTAGGGGATCAGACGTTTCTAATGTAATTTAGGTCATTTGGACTTAATTGATCTGGGGAGATTCATTCTGGATGCATTGCTAGGAGATTCAAATTGTACAACTACGGCTAATTAGTTTGATCTGGCGTAGACAAATGAAGTTGCTGGGTAATATAGATAGATTGGAATAGCTAGGCAGTGACTGTAATTATAAAGGTATTATTGACGTTGGAATTCTTGACACATCTTTCATTTGTTATTATAACATAGATGTTTCCTTTATGACATCTTTTTATTCTATTTTGGATGCATTTGTAGGAGATTCAAACTGTACAACTGTAGCTAATTAGTTTGATCTGGCGTAGACAAATGAAGTTGCTGGGTAATATAGATAGATTGGAATAGCTAGGCTGTGATTGTAATTATAAAGGTATTATTGACGTTGGAATTCTTGACACATCTTTCATTTGTTATTATAACATAGATGTTTGCTTTATGACGTCTTTTTATTCTATTTCGGATGTATTGGTAACAGATTCAAATTGTACAACTAGCTAATTAGTTCGATCTGGGGTAAACAAACGGAGTTACTGGGTAATATAGATAGATTGGAATAGCTAGTCAGTGAATCTAATTACGAAGGTCTTATTAACACGTTGACTGCCACGAGTATCTCGAGCGTTGCGTTATAATAATCCGTATTCCTTTGTAGCAAAAGCAAATGGTATTGGAAGTAATTAGTAATGATTTGGTATTGCAGTACTCATATTACGCTATAATCTACCTGCTCATATTATTAAAGATTTTTATTCGATATCAATGTTCTTATTATAATTATTTCCAAACAATTTCGAAGCTCCGATCATTGGTGACCACCGAGTAGTCAACGTGTTAATGATGGAATTCTTGACACATTTTTAATTTTTTATTAGAGTATAGTTGTTTTGTTTATGACATCTTTTCATTCTATTCTGTTGCAGCTCCATGCAGCCCAGGTCAAGGACACGGTGTTCACAAGCACATACGAGGTGCCATCAGGATGTCAAGCATGGAATTACCAGATGAAAACGAGAAATCCTATTCCTCAGCCAGCACTTCGCCATGCCCGTCGCCGCACGCTAACAACCAGAATCATATGAATCCACTGGGGAAACGCGTTCTGCCGCCCAACAACCTTTACGTAGCACTTTACAACTTCGACGCACGTCACCGGGATGAGTTGGACTTAAAGTAATCATCCATGCAGAATGCTCTATCTAGAACTTAACTAATATGTGCGCTTCTCGGAAACTGATAGCCTTAAGACGCTCATTTTGCTCAATTACTAGAACTACCTAGCATTTAACTCTCTTTTAAGCCTATGTAACTTTGAAGTCACATATCAGTATGTTGGCATCTTGTTGATTTATTTCGTTGTGCACTGACAGTGGTGAACAGAATTGAGTAATCAGTTAACTTAAACTTTTATACGCTCAGGCGTGAAAGTTTAACGTCGTTGTAATTTGAAAGTTAGAAAATATATTCGTTTGATGAAAGTATTGAAACTATTGAATACATTGTTAATTCGTATTTATATATGGATATTTATTAATTTTGCACTCCATAGGTTTTGTTATAATCATGGAAAAAAATTCGGCTCATAGAGGGTTAATACGATTAATATGTAACCCCTATAAAAATTGTGGCAATAGATTATTTCCAGTTTCTTCGGACATTCATTGTAGTATTCAAATGAAACTATTTATTTTCAAGATTATTTCAAACATTCAATGCTTTCAACGCTTAGCCAATCGAATCGGGATATCTCCCACTTTTCACTTAGTAACGTATTCCCTTTTATTATGTTTGTCTTTTCTTTTGTTATTTAGTAAGCATTGATGTGGGATTATTTGCGATTTATCAAATACGGTTCTTGTTTTTACGAAACACAGTTTCTAACCGAATTAATTGAATGAGTTCAATTGAAGATAATGGAGGAGGTTGCAGTCATAGTTCTTTGTAGTCGCCTAAGTGTTAAGATTAATAATTGCGACACAAACAATGCGAGACCAGTCATTTCAACTGGTATGGTAGTTCTCGTATTAAGGCATTTATTTTTTTACATTTCAACTTCAGTCCCCTTTCTTTTCTTTGATTCCACAATTCGATTGTATAAATTATTTTTTGCCCCATTAATTGCTTCTATTAATGTTGGTATTATTGTATTATTGCTTCAGAGCTGGCTATAAAATAACAGTGATCGGCAAATCAGAAAGGGACTGGTGGAAAGGGAAGTGTTTGGGTGGAAGAGTGGGTTACTTCCCGAGTGCATATGTCATGAGAGTGGAGTCTGGCCAGAAGACCCTCCAGGTTACGCGTAACTTACAGCTTACTGATCAAATCACACTGCTGCGTGATCAGGTACAGTAATTTAATATTACAACAATCATCACTTCACAGTCTGCAGAATGTGTCTGACTTCTATTCTTCTTCCCTTCTGTACGAATACATTTGCACCTTAAAAATCCTTTCAGCTTCAATTTGGTAAACACACATTTCTTTAACCAGTTAACTGTGTTTGACGAGTATACACGTCATCTTAAAACTCTTGATGGTGCTAACTTTTTCAACGATGGATTATTTATTTTTTGAGACAAACACGTAATTCTTCTTCGTTTTGCTTTAGTTTTTCGTTAGGATATATATTAAGTGCATTTGGCCTGCATTTAACGAGTATACACTTCATTGTTTGATTTTATAGCGCGCACAATGAGAGATTATTCAAACTAAATGTCACGCTTAACTGGTTAAAACTGAAAGTATATCTATATTCTCGGACGTAGCATGTAATGTTTATTTCTTAACGCTTCGATTACTTCGCCATTGTTGAATGAGTCATTCGCCTTCCCTTTTATTTGTTCATTAACATTTCAACTCCTCCACTATGGACATCCTCTTAAGGGCTACTTAAGATTTCTCTTCTTTTAATCCAAGACTTCCCACACCACTGCTTATGTTAACGTCTTCTTTAATTCTCTTTATCCTTTGACCATTAGTCTTCTATCTTCCACAAGAACCAACTCAGTTTCCAAGTGTACCATTTGCTCTGTGTTCCTTGAGGATTTATGACAGACGTAACTTCTTCAGAAATTCAGAAACTCGACAGTCACCTCTTCATCGTTTCCCATTTGTAGATAGTTATACAAGTCGGTGAAGAGGTAGATGGTGTCGCTATGGTGCGTTGCGCCGCGGACGTCCGTTCGGCGGACCACACAGGCAAGGAGGGTGAGGTACTCTACAAGGAAACCCTCTGCCCTCTGAAGTACCTGCAGGAGGTGTGACAACAGCCTCGGCAGGGTGGCCACCCTGCGGACGAGCGTCAGAGTCGCGCTTACCTTCGCGAGCGATTCTCCGCTTCGTCGCGTCGAAATGTGGCCGAGAAGTACTATGACTGTCTGCAATGTGCAGAACAGTGTTGTCACGTGACCAGTGTAGTCACAGGTAACAACAACAACAACGCAAACAGCACGAACAACAACGTGAAGCTTGCCCAGAAGATCGCGAAGACCAATCACGTAGCCCAGAAGAGTGGGACGAACAACTATCGAGTGACCAATCACATTAGTCCCTCGACGATCAAGGACAATACCAAGATCCTACAGAAAAACCCAAAGAACTCTAATCTGTCTAAGTCCCTGAAGAATCAGCCTCTGCTTTTGTCCCCGGCCAAAAAGAGTTCCTCCTTAGCTCGTCCAGTTCGCGTTTACGATTCCTTCTCCCAGCCCAAAGAACTGTTGCCCATGAACTACGCGTTCCAGACCTACGAAGACGATGAACAAGAGGAGACTAGCTGGCCTATTAGGCTGAGACTCGAGCAAATGTTCGAGCTAAGTCTGCCGCAGACCAAAAAGAAGAAGAAGAAGAAGTCGATAAGGCTAATGAAACAGCAACAGCAGAACAGACATGTCTGTAAGGACACAGAAAGGCTGCTACGTGTATTCAGCGTTAACAATGTGGACCAAAATAATAGATACAATGTTTCACGGTGTATCGTCATGTAAGGACTATGTAGATGGTTGTTGGGCCGAATCCCGGTGATGCTCCGTTAGGACAGGGCTGAGAATTGAAGCTGACTATGAGGATACTGATCACTTTGAATGCTATTAGAGATTAGTCTTCAAACGGACAGACCTGTTTCCTAATTCACGGAAATATACACGCTATCGTCAAGACTGTCTTGGATTAGTCCTCGTGATAGCTTTAGAACGTCATCAACTTAACGAACAATTGTGTCTTTCGAGTGCACGTTGCTCGGTCTGAATTATCCTGACTAAACTTTCTGTGCTCGTACTAACAGCTCCGATTTGAGTGCGATGAAGGAGAATCTGTGAAAACCAAATTGTATTCAATGTCCTTCCAAGATCTCTAAATGACATTTGAAGTGATTCGTAATGGCCAGTGATGTTTTATGACTACGTCAGTTGAATCCGATTGTTTAAAGCTGCACTCGAACTAGGCAGACGTGCAGAGAGACGGATTAGCAGCCAGTTGATTCTTTCGATAGGGGACTACAAGCCAAGCCAGTGTTCTTTTTTTATACGTAGGAACATTCGTCAATAGAAAATCCAAAGAACATAAGCACATAGGTTGACATATCAGTTAATACGTATCAACATTACTTTCTACTTTCTGTTCTACAAAGTACTTTCTTCGAAGTATTACACTGAGCATCCTTCAGATTTATTTGAGGTAAATACATATGAGTTATTACCTTTGATACTACAGTAATGTTCGCTCAAATCCCACAATTTCGGGTCCAAGCATTGAAATTTAACCGAGCAGAAAAATCAGGTGGAAGCTATGTGCTTCCAGGAATTGACTCGAGCACAGCCTGAGAAAGACAAGCAATCGATATAGTGAACGGAAGCGGGATAGACACAGTCCACGGAAAATCGAGGGTCAAGGCACGGATTTCAAAGTGATGCCGCACGCGTCAAATATAAACATGCAGTGAAGAAAATTCCAATTGTACTAATTTCAACCTTACCTTCTCAAATCTAGTGTGAATTAATTTCTGAGATTCTTGTGATTAAAATGAGCCCAAACACGGTGGAAATCGGACTAGTTTTACCAAATTAATGTAGTTAACGAAATTAAAGGTTCGTTTCCATGAAATCGATAAATTAGGCCGATCTATGTCGTGTTTGGACTCATTTTAATGAGAAGAATCTCAACATTTCATCTGTACTGCGATTGACAAGGTAAAGTTAAAATTATTCCAATTGAAATTTTCTTTATTACATGTTTATATTTGTCGTGTGCGGCGTCGCTTTGAAGTTCCTTGCCTTGACCCTCGATGCTCGGAGTACTGCGTCTATCCTGTTTCTGCTCAGTGTATTTATTTTCTGTCTACCGGGATCACGTTACACCGAACTCGAGACAGTGAATAGTGAGAGAAGAGAAGGGATGGTGCAGTGAAATTTAGCCGAGCATATTTTGTGGAATTTAAGCGAGCATCACTGTAAACTATTACAACACTTTGTAGAGCAGTAAATACAAAAAGAAATCTACATCAGCGTCTTCTACAGCATGAATTCAAAGCCCTTCCTAGAGCATCCGTTTAAAATTGAGTTCAACAAACTCGAAATGCAGTTTCTCAGTTGAAAGAAGCTACAAAAAAACGCGTGTCCCATTTTGTGGGGCACGTGTTGTACTAGTCATAAGGAAGTTCTTTGTTCAATGTGACTCGAGTCTTAGTGCTATCGCTTGTTGAGTTTGAATAATTCACCTCTGGGAACAGAGAAATCGATATTTGTATCGTTTTTAAGATAGAAAGTTAACGATCGGATCTGGAAATCAAGGGGAGAAGAAATAATATACAATTCGCAGTAACCATTGAGTTGCAAGATGTTGTTAAACTGACTCGTGGATTATCGGAGTATTTATCTCGATGTAAGGAAGAATGAATATTGATGTTTAAATCCTGCAGAGAAGGATTTGCTCGATGGTTATTTATTTCTTCGCTTGTTTGCGCAAACACACAGCTATTTGTGTACGTGTGCGTGTGAGTGTGTTTTAACTGTTGAGTTGGCGACACTGTTTGGGAAAATTTCTCGTTGTTGTCCACTTTGTTAACAATGAAGGACTCTTTCGTGAAACACCCGAAGGAAGATCATTTCGGTTTGTCTTTTACAATTTCGTTGTACAGTTGGTAAGAGGTTAATGATCGTTACTAGTAATTAAGAAAACTTAAGGATCAAATAAGAAATTGAAACATAACAATTTGATACGAAGATTTCGGATATCATTCGCGATCAGTGAAAAAAATCTAACGTCTCGTGCGAGGCACGGGACACTTAGAACCGATAGAGGTCCTATTTCATTCGTCGATTCCACAGAATCTTCCAAATTTCATCCAACCGAATGAAAGGGATTTCCCGCTGAACATTTCTCATGATTCTTCAATAATTCGTTTCCGTTCACATGGAATATTTTCATTAATGGATTTAAAGTATCAAATACATCTGAAACAGTACTCTTGATTAACAACTATTTGGAAAGATGTTTATAATAATTTTTGTTGGAATGTTAACTGTTGTCAATGCGTTTCTCTTCGATAGACGAAAACCTATTATATTAACGAACCGAATTAAAAAGAAAAATGCAACCAAGGATTCTAACGTTTACACGCTTGCATTTTACAACTAATTCCGTCCCCGAAGGGTGAACTTTCAACTATCGAGACCCGTGTGTAATTCGCGTTTAAGTTCTGATCAGATACCATTCGGAAACACGTTCGTCTGCGTTGCCTGTTCGCGGAGACCGAAAGGAGTTTATATCTGAGATCGTTCCGTTGTACGAAATTAAACGAAGTTGCGAAGTAACTATATTTATAAAGAAAAACGTTTCAGAGGAAAATTATTATACTGAGAAAAATGTTATCGGCGGTCGACGATCGAATTGCTCGAAACGTTAACGTGCACCAACGATTTCATCATTGTTCTCAATGTTTCAGTGAAACATCGCGGCGATTTCAAATGATTTCTAACGTCTTGTCATTCCGCAGCAATTCGACTGTCAACCGTCATTGTATTTACAGTAACGCTCGCTTAAATTCCACAATTTCGGGCCCATCAGTGGAATTTGATCGAACAGACAAAAAGGAGGAAGCTATTTGCATCCAGGAATTGAATCGAGTACAACCTGACAAAGGCAGATAATCTATATAGTGAGCAAAAGCGAGATAGACGGTCCACCTAAAACCGAGTCAAATTTAAACATGCAGTAAAGAAAATTTTAATTGCAGTCATTTCGACCTTACCTTCTTAAATGTAATGCTAGTGAATTTCTGAGATTCTTGTGATTAAAATGAGCCCAAACACGGTGGAAATCGAACTACTTTTACCAAATTAATGTAATTAACGAAATTAAAGGTTCGTTTCCGTCAAATCGATAAACTAGGCCGATCTACGTCGTGTTTGGACTCATTTTAATGAGAAGAATCTCAACATCCCATCCGTATTACGATTGACAAGTTAAGATTAAAATTATTGCAATTGAAATTTTCTTCATCATGTTCATACTTGACGCGTACAGCTCTCTCTTCCCCTCATTGTATTCATTTTCTGTCCCTGTCCACTGTGACCAGTAGAAGAATAAGGATGGTGTAATGAAATTTAACCGAGCAGATATCGTGGAATTTAAGCGAGTATCACTGTAATGACTCCATATTTTATCTCAAAGTTGACCAATCGCGCGATTTGCATTTACTTGATGTGCATTTACGAGCGCAGAGCGTTCTCGAGGGCATGTTCTCGATGTCGAATCGTGAAGCATACAAAATGGGAAACCAGAGGAATAAGAAAATAGAAAAATCTCTACAAAATAGCGAGCCTCCTAGCATCAGTTGGTCACGTGTCCTCAAGAGCCCTGCAGACCTGCGTCGTTGAACCTCAGAAGTATATAGACGTTGAAGGTTTTCATTCCAGTGCCCCCCTGCCTCCCAAATGAGAAAATAAACGAACGGATGTCTAACAATCAGGTAATTTAGGGATTAGACGTATTTTCTAGCGTATAGGAACCCTTTCGTCGATTCATTGTGGATCAGTCGATAAAACAGCGACCGGACGTTACTTCCTAAAGGGCCCACATTAAACAAAAGAGTATAGGTTTCGAGGGAGCGTCCACCACCCCCCTCACACACACACACACAGTATTCACTCATAGAATGAAAGTCACAGCAGAGATCTCCGTACTTATTTTTTCACTGTCCGGCACCAGGTTGCTCATGAACGTTGAGCAACAGTCGTCGCGCCTGATCGTATGCTTTCAGCAAACATAATCTCGTCGAGTGTGTCGTGTTCCTGTTTAGAATCCTTCGATTGTCCTCGATACTTCTAGCCGAACTCGTTCGCGAAACTCAGGACACGCCAGCAATGAACGAGTGATGCCTACATTTTATTTGAAAGTTCTACTTCCACTCAGTGAACCAATACAACCGTGGCAAATGGAGGTATTCTACTTAACAATATTGTAACCCCTCATCGTTGACCCTTTCTCATTTTCTTTGCCATCGTACTGCTTCAGTTTTGCCCGTGGTACTTGTACATACCGTACGTTGCAGCGAACCTGGCACTCGTGGCGTCATAGGGGCGGAGACAGTCGCTCGGTAGGCCCGCCTATTCCCCTTCTACGGCTCCGGGACATCCAATTGCGAGTCCGGAAACGACTCTCCGCCTCTCTGAAGCGCGACGCGACTAATGTGCGTGAGTACCTCAGCGAATCGTACACCAGAACCGAAAATTCGTGTCGACAAGGCGTGCGCCTTTGAATCTGACCAATCAGATCAAAGTGCCAGATTCCCTGCAACGGACGGTATGTATATTTTTCTTCTTGGCGTATGGATATCATGGAGTTTAGATGATGCGAAGAACTTTTTACTGGTTTACTTTTTTTTGGTATGGTACCAATGTTTCCTTCCCAGTCGATCCAGGTTCCTTTGTTGATGCTTGAATACCATAGAATTCAGGAAATGTGAGAAGTTACTTCTCGCTAACTTTTCTTTCCTTTATCATGGTACCAATCTTTTTTGTATCTGTACTGCATTCTCTTTATTTGTGGAAGAGAGTGGTATTTGTTGAGGCGTTGAGGTGCTGATACTTTGTTAACTTTTTATAGTATGTATCACTCCCTTTCGTTGCTTTTAATTGTTGCAAGAAGGAACTGAACGTTATAGGAGGGAGAGAACATGATTTGTTTGTCTATGTTAACGACGGGGATACTTGTGTCATCTGTTTGTAAGATATTGTACGAAAAGTTTAATTTTATTGTTGATATTTTCTATCTTTGGGAATAGTTCCACAGACTTGTGAACGAGTTTGCATTAACAATTGCCGAGGACCGAGATCAGAGTAGCTTAGGATTAAGTATCAGGGATAACAATTGTGTTATTGTACGTTGTAATGCTACATATATTATATTTCATTATATTAAATACTGTAATGTAATGAGTGCCCTACCCCTGTTCAAGTGTATATCGAATTATTAACTGTACTATAGTGTGTAAGCTATTCCAACTACCATGCCCAGTATTTTCTAAGTATTATGATTATGCAGCAGGATGTGTTCGTGTTATTGTAACTCTTTCTAGTCTGCTGTTTTGCTGATATAGTTACACACTGACACGAATTTTTTACTCTCTGTTTATGAAAGCATAAGCAAAATTTAGTTGTGTAAGAAACGTGTGGAAGTATTAGAATATAGTTATTTTTTTATAATAATAGTATTTTCTTCACGTTGTAATGCAAAATTATTTTTTCTTTACCAGTATATGTACATAACTGTATTTTAGAATATATAACTAGAAGTATAGTTCTGTTAAAATATTTAATAATTTTCAGTTGATAACTGGTAACATATGTAGTAATGCTCGCTTAAATTCCACAATTTCGGGTCCTAGCAGTGAAATTTGACCGAGCAGAAAAAACAGGAAGAAGCTATGTGCTTCCAGGAATTGCAGTGAAGAAAATTCCAATTGTACTAATTTCAACCTTACCTTCTCAAATGTAGTGTCAGTGAATTTCTGAGATTCTTGTGATTAAAATGAGTCCAAACACGGTGGAAATTGGACTAGTTTTACCGGCTTAATGTAATTAACGAAATTAAAGGTTCGTTTCCACCAAATGGATAAAACTAGACCGATTTACGTCGTGTTTGGACTCATTTTAATGAGAAGAATCTCAACATCACATCTGTACTACGATTGAGAAGGTAAGGTTAAAATTATTGCAATCGGAATTTTCCTCGTTGTATGTTTATATTTGACGCGTGCGGCATCGCTGTCTTTCTTCCCCTCATTATATTCATTTTCTGTTCCTGTCTACTGGGATCACGTTACACTGAGCTTGGGACAGTGAATAGTGGGGGAAGAGTAAGGATGGCGCAGTAAAATTTAAGCGAGCATCACTGTTAATAATGCTGTGTCAACAGCTATTTTCATTCTTTAATTATTTATATATTTATTTAATGTTGCTTCCGTGCTACTTAGTGAACATGTGTAAAGCAGCAGCCTTGAAAGAAGTAACACAGAAGATTAAAGTTAATGGATGCTATGTTCACTGAACCAATATGCACGAATGTTTGGTGAGTTGTTAAAAACATTGTGAGTTCGATTGATGCACGAAAATGACTCTCTTCAATGAGATACTTTTGAGGAGCGAAATTGGGAGACAGAAACGTTTCATTTCTAAGTATAAGAGTGGCTGCGGATTAGCTATGTCTCGTGTGCCATAACTCCTAACGTTTGATATATTTACCAAGTTTAGTCCATTTACAAAGAAACCTTTCATACACACCCGAGCAAATGTGTTTAACCAAATTCATAGACTGCACGAAATATATATTATCTATACATACAACGAAGTTCCAGTTATTTACCCATAACGTACCCTATTCATTTACCATCAAGATCTAATAACATAAAGATAATTGGAATAATGCAATAAATAGAAAGAGAAAATTTGAAAAAGTATGACTTTTATTTGTACATATCACTTTGACAATACATCATTCCACTTGCTCAATCATGCAACAGAATAACAAAATCTTCAATCCATGTATAATGCGCACAAGGAACTAGAAATATCAGATATATAAAAAGTAGGAAGCAAACAATGCAGATATTTCTTCCTCTAAGGAGCATTTAAATTTTGAAGAAACATGTCAAGAGATAAGAAAATAATGGGAGTTTTCCATTAGACTTTCAAATTGGCATCTTCAGTTTTTCTTAGCATTCATCCTCAGTCTCTAATCACTCCTTACAACTTATACTTAGCACCCCTGACAATGGGGAATTTGTCTCCAGTACAGACTCCCCTGAAGTCATCCAAGGATAAATCATAAATAGCTACACCTCCCAAGCCCTTCGCTTTAGCGTAGGCAGCCTTGTTCCCAGCTGTATCAGGATCTTCATACCCAACCCAGATTCCATCTGCACCTGTGTTCTCATCATACCCTTGGAAGGAATAGCTACCATACTTCTTGGATGGGTCACTGACTCGTCTCAAGCGACCAACAGCACTTTCAGTCAAACGAGCACACACCTCTGAATAAGAGAGAAGGCCTGGTATATTCGTGTGTGGTCCTTCTGCTCCTGGACCATCAGCAACAATAGGTGGAACTCCTGATATCTGGCTGTCAGAGGTTAGTTTCCATGTCCTGGCAAATGCTGGGATGCCCACAACAATCTTTGTGCCTGGTGTGCCGTTGTCAAGCCAATACCTTGAAGTAGAATTAATACTTTACGGATATTTTTGGTTTGTAATATGGAGCAAAGGATTTCAGCAAACTTTTCATAAGTTTTTCTCTATACATTAATTAACATTATAGTTATTGTATTTTTAAACGTAATATTATAGCCATTTGCTAGTTTTAAAGTACTCTAATCTTAACTATTCAGAATTTAACGAATCGCCTGTTGAATCTAAAAGGTGGGTATACAAGAAAGTTAGATAATCAACTTTTCAAGTTCCAAATATGATATTCTAATCTTAACTATTCAGAATTTAGCGAAGCATCTGTTGAATCTAAAAGGTGAGTATGCCAGGAAGTTAGATGATCAATCTTCCAAGTTCCAAATATGATATTCTAATCTTAACCATTCAGAATTTAACGAAGCATCTGTTGAATTTAGAAGGTTCGTATACCAGAAAGTTAATCAACTTTCCAAGTACCAAATATGATATTCTAATCTTAACTATTCAGAATTTAACGAATCATCTGCTGAATTTAGAAGGTTGGTACACCTGAAACTTAAGTTACCAACTTTCCAAGCTCAGAATATGACGTGAAAAAGGAATTAGAAAGTATTATATTAATTTCTAGACTTCTCACCTGGTTGTTGCATCAACGTTGTCCTGAGGGACGCGACCATAGCTTTCGTAAATTGGTGCAGGATAATCGCCCTCCTGAGGATTGCGTTCCGGCGTCTTCTGGTCGAAAGTCATTAGGTGTACAGCGTCGATGTTAGGTGCTAACAGTCTTGCGTCATAGTAAACTGAAACAGGCAGCATGGATATTATTAATTCATCAAAACGAAAACCGATCGTTTCAATAAAGATCTCAACCTGCTTTAATTCAATTTGTCAACAGCATCTCATATTTCCTTCCCGTTAATTACTAAAATATAAGTGAACGTTGGGATTTCCCTCTACCAGTTGCAAACATTAATGCACACACATTTATCTGGAAGTGTGCCAGAAAATGAAAAAACACTTTACGCGGAAGTATATTGTTTACAATTCATTTTGCTGCAGAGGCACGCGTCCCAGATCCCACTTCGGCTCAGTGTTTGGAGAACGTGACATTGATTACAACCCAGTTTAAACACCCACACACACTGACTGCGGGCATTTAAAGCGCTGATCGAAATACTCGCGTTGCTAGCACGTTTCTCACGATAAACAAGAAAGAGAACCGTCTTATCAGGTTTCCTTCAAAGGGCACAACCGAATAAGGAGTATCAAAAGTGTCCCCAAACCAAATCGACCTTAATACATACCATTTAATAGATCTCTCGAAGAAATCCCTTTTTACCAAGCTTTAAGCTCCTACCCTTATTATTAGGTTAGTTACAGGGTGGAATGCTACATACAGTTTATGCTTAATATTTTATATCCTCTTTGATACAAAATTCTGAAAAAATTCCTAAAGGTGCACATCTATATCTAGAATAACTATGATTTTTTTCATAATTTTTTATCAAACAGAACATAAACTACCATAAATTGTGTATAGTATTCCACCCTGTAACTACCTTAATGGTAGGGGCTTAAAACTTGGTAAAAAGAGTTTCTTCAAGAGATCTATCAAATGGTATGCGTGAAGATCGATTTTTAGTGTTTGAAACGTTGCTAGCGAAACAACTATTAACATCTATTACCCACTCATAGATAGACACCAATTACCAGTATTAACACTTTGACTGCCAGTAAATAGCCACCAAAATTCTCATGCCATCGAAATAGTTCTCTTAATAAAGTCAAAACTAAAGAGTCAAGATTCTTCGTAACGGTTACTTTACTACATTCTGTATATCTCACACAATCAATAAAACTTAGTTCGTTCGATACGTTACCAAGAAAACGAATATTCAAGATTACGTTAAAAATGGTGTCACCCGTATTCGGGTAACGTGGCAGTTAAAGTGTTAAACGCCATTGCTGAAGTTAAGTAAGAATACTAACTACTGCTGTTCACGTGAGGCAGAACAGTGACAGTCAAAGCCTTCATCCTAGGTCTAAGCTGAGCCTTCAGATCACGGACCAAGATGGTGAAACCATCACGGTGCTCCTGTTCCTTGTCATCCTTGAATTTCCCATAGCCAAAGGTCTTTTTAACTCCATGCCAGAATGAACCAAGTGTGCTGCGTTGCTTCTTGACTTTCACTGGAGGGAACTGCCACGCTAGGTCAATTCCATCGAACTCATAATCATTAAGGAGCCTCTGTACAGAGTTGATGAACTTGGATCTTGACTCCGATGTCTCCGTCTGTGGGAAACAAAGCGACACTCGTTATGTTAGTTATTCGTGAATGTTTATAGTTAACAGAATCGTAGAATGGTTGTTTAACCCATTGCAAACGATGGCTACATCCGTCCATTTTACGGACTGTACTGATGCATTTATTTGTCTATTCTTCGGTAATACATTGAACAAAAATGATGTAACAGTCTAGATAACATGTAAGTTGATTTTATGTACGATTTTTCGTGACCTGAACGAGTCGAAAGAAACAATAGAAGAACTGCGTTTCTGGGTAAGATTTTAAACCTTTGCACTCGAGAGGTGACCCTCACTCACCACATGATTTCATACAGTAAAACTATAAAATTTGATATTTAATATTATACTTCGTATAATGCATCAATTTGAGAAATATTGAAATAAAATAGCTTTGTTTCTCAATGTACGTGTGATTTTTCGTCCAGTTAGTTTCACAAAATATCGTGTTTATCTCATTAGAAAATATTCAAATATTTTTAGTGGAAAAACTTCCGAGTGCAAAGGGTTAAAACTAAAAGTGTGCAATGAGTCAATGTTACTTACAAGAACAAGGTATTTGTGAGTTTCCTCTTCAGGATCAGCATTGCCACCGATACTAAGGTAAATTTTCAACTCTGGGAAGGATCTCTTCAACTGTGTGGCCAGCCTGTAGTAAGCATATCCAGCACCAGTGTCGAGATTAGGATTCAATGAGACAACTTCAAACTTATCAGCAGTGATCCCAGCAAATCCATAGATCAAATGAGTGCAAAGGGAGAGTGCCGGACGTACATCCTCCAGCTGGAATTTCCCTGGTCCTGAAACAAGATTCAGTTTATTGTTTAAAATTATTTTTACACGTGAACAGTGTTCTACGGTGGTGCTCGCTTAAATTTCACTGCACCATCCATATTCTTCTCTCAGTTCTCACTGTTTCGAGTTCAAGGTAACGTGATCCCAGTAGACAGGGACAGAAAATGAGTACAATGAGGAGAAGGGAAATAGACAGGTCAAAGAGATGCCGCACGCATCAAGTATAAAGGTGTAACGGAAAAAATTTCAATTGCAATAATTTTCACTTTACCTTGTCAATCGTAGTACAGATGGAATGTTGAGATTCTTCTCATTAAAATAAGTACACACACGACGTAAATCGGTCTGGTTTATCGATTTGATGGGAACGAATCTTCAATTTCATTAATTACATTAACGCGGTAAAACTAGTCCGATTTCCACCGTGTTTGGACTCATTCTAATCACAAGAATCTTAGAAATTCACTGGCACTACGTTTGAGAAGGTAAGGTTTAAATTACTGCAATTGGAATTTTCTTCGCTGCATGTTTATATTTGACGCGTGCGGCATCGCTTTGAAGTCATGCGTCTTGACCTTCGGTTTACTGTAGACTGTGTCTACCTCGCTTCCGCTCACTATACCGATTCTCTGACATTGACAAGCTGTGCTCGAGTCAATTCCTGAAAATAAATAGCTTTCACCTATTTTTTCTGCTCGGTCAAATTCCACTGCTGGGACCCGAGATCGTGGAATTTAAGCGAGCGTTGCTATACATGTTACCAGTTATCAACTGAAAATCATTGAATATTTTAACACGTTGAATGCCGAACAAATATAATATCAAAGGATTTGATTGAATTGCGTTATCATTGTTGCACGGTTACTTTGCTGAACGTCATCGTCTTAGGTTGCATTATTTCTAATATGGAACAGTTTTAAATAATCGTCGTTTAATTGAGTGAATTATAGTAATTCGATTTGATTGGGGATCACCGGTACCCCCACGGCATTCAACGTGTTAACTATGCTTTAGTTCTATAGCAATTTAGTACTACTAAAGAAAAAATGATTTTGCTACAAGATGGAGAAAATACTATTATATAATACTGTTATATCTTTTTATCGTTAAAAGTCTGTGAGAATATAAAAATTGTCATCCAAGCAGAAAATTTACCTTGTCTTTCGTAGGCTGTGCTGTTCCAGAAGCACACAACTTTATTATGTTCATGAGTATCAACGCTGAGTACCGATTGAGCACAGAATGCCGCAACAGCGGCAAAAAATAATACTTTCATCCTTGCAGACTGGCCCTGAAACGAGTAGAATATAATTCTTTAATATTCACAGCACTTTACAGTTCTTTAATTACTTTCTCTTGATCGACACAAATCATTTTAACTAATTTAATACTGAATCATGTATATTTAACACTTCTTAATGATATCATAATTAAAAACAAGTAACAGAGTAGTATAATTAACAATTCTCTAAACTATTCCCTAAGATTCTTTGCTTAAATATGAAGCAGCAATATCTCATACAATATTTTACTATTATCCACTAATAAAATTAATAATATAAACTAATAATTAATTTCTCTAATATGTTTAAGATAAATGATTTTGAGAATCTACACAGTCTTTAAGAAAGTTTGCTTTAGGAGAAAATTACAGAATGTTCCACAGGAAGTTCCAAATATAATTAATGTTGCAGTAATGAAACAAGTTTGGCACAAAGAACCAAAGTGCTATAGGCACGTCTTACCTTTCTGAAAGGAAGAAGCAGACTGTCTGGAACAATTTCTTCGACAGAGACTTTGATACCTTGGCCTGATCTCTGTCGTGGTAGTGGGGCTTGTCAATCTTACGTCATCAACACGATCTTCCAAACACAGTTTCTCCAATATGCTCGCATATGCATACACGAATCTCGTTGGTAGGCAGGTCCAAGAACTGAAGGCCAGGGGTTCGAAAAATTTCTTGGAACAGCGATTGGAAAATTAGTCGCGAAGCTGCATAGCATGATCAATGATAAGGGGTTCCCCCCCAAGAGAACTTTTAGAGTCTTGATTCTCTTATCAAGTAAACATTTCCTTGAATACTTAACTATACCTTAACGTATAAAGATTATTGAATGCTTAGATATAATTCATTTATTTAATGTATGATACATTATTTTCTCTATGATAATTTATACTTGTGTATTTATGAAACAATTGTTGCTTCGTTAATCTATATAAATATTAATATAAATAGGAAATTCTGTTATTGGTTGAAGAATGTAATTAATATTTGATCAGTGGTGTGGTTGTGAGCAATATGTAAGCTGATACTTCAATCATTTGCTATTTTTCATCTTGATTTTGATTTGTATACTGAAATATAGGAATTGGAATCTTTATAAATATTAATATAAATAGGAGAACCCATTATAAGTTGAAGAAAGTAATTAATATTTGATCAGTGGCATGATCTTGAGCAACACATAAGCTGATACTTCAATCATTTGTTATTTTTCTTCATGATTTCGATTAGTACACTGAAATATAGACATGGGAAGTTGAAGAACCTGGCGGCGCAGTTTCCATCGTGCCCTGTTTACAAGCATTATCTAATGTGTTCTTCCATTTGCTGCTAACTATCAGAATACCAATAGGCGTGCGTTAATTTACTGAAGCGGAGGCGCAACCTTTCACTCGGGTTATCGCGGTTACGTGGAACTCCATCACAACGTCCAACATTCAACTGAAGTTTCCTCTTGCTTATCTGAGGAATTATTAATCCTGACATCGAATTGCAATTTTTAAATTTGACATTAAGCTTAAAATATTATATTCTTATTAATTTTGTTATTTTCCATATACCACAGATTCTTAAGAAATTTTCTGGTAATTCTATATACATTTCTCGAATCTTAATTAATCTGAAGCTGATTTAGCCTTGCAACAGATACCGATATTTATTTCAATTTGAAAAGATACTAATCAACTTTTATGTTAATACACACTACAAACCGATTTACAAATTTTTCTTCAACGTCGAAATTCACCATCGAATTGCAATTTTTAAATATTATATTCTTATTAATTTTGTTATTTTCCATATACCACAGATTCTTAAGAAATTCTCTGGTAATTCTATATACATTTCTCAAATCATAATTAATCCGCAGCTAGTTCAGCCTTGCAAGATACCGATATTTATTCCAATTTGAAAAAATACTAATCATTTTTTACGTCGACACATACTGCAAACTGATTTACAAATCTCACAAAGTTACTTTACACTTAGGAGTAAATAAACATGCAGATATAGGCTTGTATATGCAGCAAAATATGATTATATAATGTTACTTTATTTGCAAGAGTAAATCAGAAGTATTTCTAGAATCTTCTTCCAGCAGCCATACATTCAAATTCCAATCAATGTACTCCCAGCAGCCAGATGTCTCTGAAAAATTGAGTGACAATGAATAATCTTATTAATCTAATCAGAATATATTAAGTATAATAAGATTCAGATAGCCAAGGATATAATATAATAACATTAAGTTATTTCTTTCAAGTTTTGCATGGGCCTACAGAATCTATAATTCCAGCTATTAAATCATTGAAGATAGTATGTGTAGCTTTAGAAAAAATATGATTCAGCAATTGGTGTATTCCAAAAATTGTTTTCAAGCTAATTATCAAGTCCTGGCTACGATAATTCGACTTCCTTCATGTTCATTGGATATGACCTATATAAGCAGACATGATCTCATCTGGAAACGTATCATACAATCGTTTCCAATTACCTTGTCACGAGTCTACTCGCGTACTTGCTAATTCACGTGCGAAATAGCCTTCAAGAGTCTCCACCAGATGTATGTATTCTCCTTTCCTCTATCTCTTGCCTACCTCTGGCTCATCATGTATGCAACATGGCCAGTGTACCATTGAGTATACAAACCCCTTGCTTTTCTTATTTCACAGGTATCCTTGATTTTGATTCAAGTCTCCTTGGCAGTGAATTAAATTATATACAAATGATACCATTTATAGGAAGATCACAAACATTATTGTAGTTTTCATCAAATAGTTTTGCATGTTGGAAATAAAATACTTGACTTCTCACATCAATAATATTCAATGTACAAAACAGTTTTGTGGCCTTGATTGTGATCCAAGTCTCCTTGGCAGTGAATTAAATTATATACAAATGATACCATTTATAGGAAGATCACAAACATTATTGTAGTTTTCACCAAAATATTTTTATGTACTAAATATATTTAACTTCGGTATCTTAATATAGGAAACAAATCTATATATGTTTTAAATGATTAAATAATAAATTACAAGGTCTATATATTGTCAGTGTCATTCAATTCGAAAAATGAGATAAATTAATGGAAGTTACAGGAAAAAATTCCTTAGAGATTATGATTTTATTTCTAAAGACTTTATGTAAAATTCTGTCCTTGAATATCGTAAAATTAAAAACACGTCAAACTAGTAATTCTCCTCTTATTATAAAATACGTCCTCATACGTTTCTTTTTTCTAATATTCTTCAGAAGATATTTCCAGGTAGTAATTACGTTGTAAGAATACTTTTTCAATTTTCAGGACAGAGGAAACCTTGGATTCACAGAAATATTTATACAGTATTACTACAAAAGATTATTATTCTATTTCCATGGATTCAGTAGATGTTGATCACCAAAAGAGGAAGAAAAGAAGAAATCCCTAAAGGAAGAAAATGAAAGGTAAAGTCATATTAAAATTTACTGCATTAATTGCAAACTAAATTATTCATAAAAAAAAAGAGTACTAAAAATATTCTTATATTCCAAATGTTTATTATCAGAGACTGCTTCTTTAACACGATGAATACCATCTGGGTTACCGGTGACCCCTAATCAAATCGAATTACTGTGATTCACTCATTTAAACGTTGACTATTCGAATCATTTCTACATTATTAATAATATTACCTCGTGCAACGACATTCAGCAATGTAAACGTGCAATAACAATAACAGAATTCATTTCAATAATTCAATATTACATCTTTTCCCATTTTTTCAATATTACATCTTTCTCCAACGTGCTAAAGAAATCATGAATCCGACACAAACGATGTTTCAAGTATTTACACAGCCGATAAAAAGTGACTTCATTGCTACAGTTAATTTTAATAATGTTATTCGTCCATTAAGATATGTCTGTTTTGAATCATCCAGTCAAAGACGTTTTATCTATTGGAAGTCAAACATTATGCAAAGCGAACGAGATCTCCGCCGTTGATTTCATCGAACCGACTGGAACGTACTCTTGTTTTCTTTGCTAGTGAGTCATGTCCCACGCGTATACACACGTTATGCAAGCACAGAATGTGATACAGAACGATGCTTCTAGGAAACGATTCGCGGCAGTTCTAATCGCTTCAATGGCTGTTTGGCACGTCGAAGAATTTTTGATAGTGTGTATCGATATGATCTAAGAAACCGAAGTCCTTGAAGTCCTTGTAGTCCTTGGACTATCGGATAATTGATAAGGCTAATAGCTGTTCATTCGTTCCACGATCATTTTGGAGAGACCGTTTCACTGAAAGGTCTCGTTGGTTTATGTTCAAGTCAATCGACAACCGTATTTATATTCATAGATTCGTTGTGGAACGGAAATTGTTGCAATATGTTTCATCCGCAAGATAATTTTACTCGAAGTTTACTTATTTTCTACTTTTATTAGTTGACGTTCTCATTATTAACCCTTTGCACTCCAAAAATTTGTCACTGGAAATATGCAATTTACTTTTATGAGATATAGATGACATTTTTTGAAAACTTAACCGGGAATCTATTCACAAAATAAGGGGAACAATGGTATTTTATTTCCAGATTTCACGTATCGACAGATTACACAGGACTTAATGTTAAATATGAAATTGTATAATTTTTATGCAACAATCGAGTGGTGACTGAGAGGCACCTTGGAGTGCAAAGGGTTAACACTAGTAGTATTAATTAAATACTTGTATAACTTCATTACCATTTTTGATAATAGTAGATAGTTGATTCCTTTTGCGTATGATTGAAAGTATTTCTATTTGTAATGGAAACTCTCGAAAATATGTCGAATAATAAATAAATGAATTGAATGTAACTGCTATAAGGTGAAATGAACAAAATGGCCCGCACGGAATCTGTTAATGTTTTTGGATTTTCGAAATTAAAATGTTGAACAACTTCTATAGAGTGTTATTAAGTTCCGTGAGCGTTTTTTATAAAGTTTTTGGTATTTGTAACTGTGTTGGAAAAGGAAGGAAAGAGTGAAAGTAACAGATAGATTTGATTGTATTATTCTTTGTAATGTTATTTCTTAATGGTTTATTTAATAAATAATAAAAAGGATTAGGAGTAAGAGTAGTACATAGCAGTTTATTTAATAAATAATAAAAAGGAGTAGGTGAGTTACAATAATAATTCCCACGAATTGTAAACATTGCGGTTAACTAACAATTATAACAAGTTAATCTATGTATTCTGTACTTGTTATAATTTGTTAACTTGTGCGTGTTAAACAGTGTGCAACTGTTAATAATAAATAAACTCTCCAACTACAGTAATGTATTTATGAAATGCGATGATATTAAATTGTTATAATAATAAATTTTATCCTTCAAACTATTTTCAAAATATATTTTTGCAATGTCCCTGTAATGACTTATTAATTTTCTAATTAAATAGTAGTTTTATATGATTAAACATTAGTGCCATTACTTCCAATCCTACCTCACCACTTAAAATAATAAATTGTAGAAAAAAATATGTAACCTTATAAACAATTCAAATCAATTAGTAGAAGTTATTAACCCTTTGTCTTATAATTTAAGATTACAAACAATTCAAATCAATCAGTAGAAATTATTAACCCTTTCTCTTACAATTTAATTTCATAGTGGCACTTGTTAGAACTACTTATCGTTAATAATGAAACAGTACAACATAAAATTCTATTCCCTATTCGTAGATTTACATTGAACCATACAAATTGCCAATAAGAAAAATACTGTTTCATTCGAAATCAAAATGATTGGATGCCATTTATAATTGTTAAACAATATTTAAAATGTTCACTACGAGTCTGACACGATATTACTACGCAGAGGGATAATTGTTGCAATTCATATGTATTTTAAAAATTTCCTCGCCAACGGACATACAAATAGTATCGCCATCTAGCGGCGAAACGTCTGAACTAAAAGTCCCGCAGATTCTACATACCAGTGAAAAGAAACATTTATATCATGCGTATTTCAAATAAAATACATACTTTACGCACACTGAACTATTAGAAATATCCCCTTAATTGATCTAAAGCAAAAAACAGAGCTTAAAAAGTTGCAGTAATTAATAATTTAATAAAACAACGAACAAAGTTTCAAACGGTAGATTGCAGCGCCATCTACCGGTGAAATCAGCAAACAACAAGAATAGAAAATTTTAAATTTCTCGAAAACCAAGCGGTCAAAATTAATGTTTTTGGTACCAAAATGTTTGTATTAATCTAGCGAATTCAGTTGGTGTGTCGAAATTACCTAATTGTTACGTTTTATACGTTTTCTGAAAAATACCTCGCCAACGGGCACGCAAATAGTATCGCCATCTCGCGGTGAAATGCTGGAACTAAATTTGCCGTTTAGAGAACAGCAAAATATACAATATGACAGTTTTATTCGAATATTTCTGTAATTTGTGAAAATACGAGAAAATGCTTCAAATAAAAGTTGTTTGACATAGTGAGGTACATTTATTGGGTTGTTTTGATTTTTTGTTACATTGTTATTTAACAAAATTTCAAGGTAAATACATTTTTTTCAAGGAAACCATATGTTTTTATTAACGTCAGTGTATTGTATTTTTTAAGACGAATTCAACGATGAGTATAACGTTTATTTCTAATTAATAATACATCGACTGATTTTGTGAATTTTATAAATATAGATTTCTTCTTCGTGACTCGCGAGTATTTAAATAATTCAACATCGTCTACAGTATGTTTAATTTATCATTAAATATAATCTAAAATTTCCTACAATATTAATTAAAGGTGACCAATTGTCAATAACTATTTAATAATGCAAATTTCACAACTAAACTACTTCTGAAGGTCCACTTTAATTTCTACAAACACAAAGGTTCGCTAATTATTCCTGCGAATCCGGAAAACAATTAATTTATCGGCGACCTGTAAACTTTCTTGAGGTTACGCAAGCACACGCCGCCCTTCGATTGTTAATAAATATTTACTGACGAATAATATACGATTGAAAATGCATTACAAAAGTTACTGAGTATCCCCTTCACATTCTCAGATAGCGAATACTAATTAAACCCTCATACATAGGAAGTAATTATCGAATATTGCGTCAATTTCTTAACCCTTTGCACCCGAGAGATGAGTCTCAGTCACCACTTGATTTGATTTGCAAAATTATAAAGTCTTATATGTAATATTCAGCTTTGTGTGTTGCATCAATATGTGGAATATTGAAATAAAATAACTGTCCTTCTTAATTTATATTTTTCCTCATTAATTAATTTCAAACAACACCGTCTGTATCTCATCGGAGAATATTGAATATTTCTAGTGAAAAACTTTCCAGTGCAAAGGGTTAATACCTTCTTACCTACCGTTTTACCTTTTTGTTTCTTTAATACCGTGCGTCTTAGTTTCTCATGGAACCGCTAGATGGCCGCACGTAGTCTGTCCTTGTCGGATACCTCTTTCCCCGTCATGCTTCACGAGTAGGTACCAGGGACCGATGAAATGCTTTTTCGAAGTAGGTGGCACCGGGTACACCATCTCCGTCCTTGTCGCACACTAGCTCTGTCCTCGTCTTACGCATTACGGGGATAGGGAAAAGCCTCGAAAATTTCCAACCGCTAGATGGCGGTACTGTGAACAACAAAAATTTATCAAAGACTGAGTACAGTCAAACCTGTTTTTATGCGATCCTTTTCTACGCGATTTTTTTTGTGCAATTTTTTTTTGCGGTATATGAATTCCAACGGTGTTCAAATCATGAAAGCGACTTTGAACCAGTTCATCAAAAGAAGATGCGCGTTTTCGACTACGAGTAGCAGTGAATTATACGCATTGTGAAAATTTCTCCATGTATGAGAATTTAAATTCTTTTTAAATGATTCCGTGTGTAATTTAATTATTTATTTCGTTCGAAAGCACTTTCCCACTATTTCGTAAATTTCTGAACATTCCTTTTGTGCAGTGTCTTTTATGCGGTCCCTATCTACCGCACAAAAACAGGTTTGACTGTATAGGTAGTTTAGTTAAGGGTAATACTAAAACTCTTGCTGGTAGGTTAGAATAAGATAGATATAAGGTGAAGTAAGTATAAATATGTGCAATTCGAAAACTGCAATCCGCCGTAGACTCTTAGTTTTAGTGTAATATAACCGTGTAACTTAATGTTTTACAAAACGTACACTGTATAAACGGGCATAGCATGTAATTAGTTAACCAGTTAACTGTGTTTGACGTGTATACACGTCATCTTAAAACTCTTACTGCTGCTAATTTTTACGACGATGGATTATTTATTTTTTCAGACAAACATGTAATTCTCCTTCGCTTCGCTTTAGTTTTACGTTAGAATGTATTTCAAGTGCATTTGACCTGCATTTAACGAGTACACATTTCATTATTTGATTTTACTGCGCGCACAATGAGAGATTTTTCAAACTAAATGCCACGCTTAACTGGTTAAATAATCATGTCTCAAAACGTAATAAATAAAAAAAATATTGATCGAAACTATTGACAATTTTTTATTTTATATGATATGACGCCGACAGCCGCTGTCACACCAGCGTCAGTTTATCTCTGCAGAACTGCAACCATTATTAATTTTAAATGATTTCGCTCTACGAAGCGTTATTCTGTGTTTGTTTTTGGAATATTTTTTTATAAATGGCAGAGTTATGTTATTAAATACTTTGTAACGTACAATACGAGCCTGTGATTACTTTCTTTCAGTCATTGGATATTTTTTATGTTTGTACACTTGTTTTATGCGTTGTGTGCGTAACATGGATAATATCAAGTTTCGGTAAATCTATAAAATGTCCAGTCATGATGAATGATATTATAATTATAAGATGATAATTTAATTATTATAATTATTATTATAAGATGATAATTTATATTAAATGAATTGTGTGAGGTTATGTCGGATTTCAATGATGGACTTTATTAAAGTGAAGAATTGTTAACAACATGTATTCAATTTATAGGCAATCGATTGAAATGTGGTAAACCGACACATTTCTAAGTTTAGTCAATTATGCTATTAATAATTAATTACTGCTCCATTTCAGTCGAGATTTCTTCCATTGTATGCATCAACGAGTGTTGAATTAATAATTTCGCTGTTACAGACAGTTCTTCCAAGAGAAAATTAGCAAGATATCAAGTTGGCTCTGAATCCTTATAAAATATGGATAAAAATCTAAGGAAAAGGAAGTGCTAAATGTTAACTGATACTTCTAAAAATATATTCTGCATTCAATTATTATATACTTATATAATATATAATTATTATTAAAATATAATATATAATAATTATTATTATATTATTATGTTATTATATTATTATATTATTATATTACTATATTACTATACTATTATGTTACTATATTATTATATTACTGTATTACTATATTACCATATTACTACATTATTATATTACTATATTACTATATTATTATATTATTATATTATTATATTATTATATTATTATATTATTATATTATTATATCATTATATTA